CCCAAATCCCCCCTCCCCTAAGCCCTAGTAGCTCCTCCCAGCCTCGTCCGGTCGGACCCGAACGGAGGCCTGCACCTCCCGTCATGCCGGGGGGGGGGGGGGGGGGGGCGGCCTATATACCCTTAATTAATATATATATATATATATATATATATATATATATAGCTATTATATAGCTATTATATACCCACCCTTAATATAGCTATTACATACCCAGTATATAGCCCTTTATAGGGTAGGGCTAAACACCACGGCCATCGCTGCCAGCGCCAAGAGCATCGTAACATTCAGCACGGCCATAGGAAGAAGGCAAGAGTGGGAATAAGTACCGCAACCAACGGAGCTCACCGGGGATGAAGCGTGGTCTCCCTTCCAAACAGAACTGAACGGTGAGTGCAGCTTATGTTGAAACTTTAAGTCTTCTTCCAAACCTCGCTTTGAACTCATGACTGCACGGAAGACGATTAATCATGATTATGATGGTGGTGGTAAAGATGTAGATGTTGGTGATGTTGTTGAAAAGAGCGAAGATGGTGGCAATGTCCTAAACCACAACCCTCAAGCTGTAAACCCCAAACCTCAGCCAAAAAAAACAACTAAATCCCACAACCAAAACCGACAGCGAAGAGGCTTCGGACAATTGGTGTTAGTGAGACTAAAACCCCTAAACCCATAAACCCCCTAAGGCCCTAAGGCCTAAACCTCTAAACCACAAACCCTAAACCGTGCCTTGACCCCGAAGGCCCGGAACCCCTTAATATAAGGGGCCTTAATTATCAGAACAGGGTTTTCGGGCCCACTATATTATAACTATAATAAGGAAGCCCCAAAATAGAATAGGTAATTATGTAGGCCCCTATGTTAACCTCTCTTTCCCCGAAGACGAAGGCCCCACTGCCCTGCCTTTCCTTCGGAAATTTCGGCCGCCAGGATCTCAGCAAAGTCTGCCTGTTCCGGCTGAAGCACATGTTCGCCCGGGCGGCAGGCCCCAAGGTGAGACAGTTGTAGGAATTAGGTACCCCTGTTTCAGTTTGTGTGTCCTTTCACCCGGGTTTATATGGAGGCGATGTGACGGTGATGACGGCGACGGTGCTAAGCATCATCGCCATCACCACCCGCTAGCGACCGCAATCCCCTTTCGGGTGCGGTCATCACGCGAATCGTCATCGATATCACCAAAAAACAGGTTGACTCTTCTACGCATGACTACCATTAGTACTGCTGCCGCCGCTGCCACTGCTGCTGCTCCCCAATTGCCCCCTCAACCATAAACTTTCTAAAAACCAAAAAACATTGAGCCCACGAACCCCAGCCCAAAAAAACTAAAGCCCTCAGCCCGAAACTCACCCTAAACTTCAAACCCCGCGCAACCCGCCCCCCCCGCCGCCCCGCAACAAAAAAACAAGCTGCTAAAATCCTACAGTACATATACAGTAATCCCTGGCCCCTACAGAAACCCTTAAAAGGAACCCTTAAGGGTCCCTTCAAGGGTCCTATGGGGGATCTACGATAGGGTTCCTGCAAAGGGGTCTATAAAGGGTGCTGTAAGGGCCTTTAAGGGTTCCTTCCATGGTAATAGTAACCCCAAGCCCCTAAACCCTTAAATAAGGGTTCCTTTAAGGGCACCCTACACCCTAAACCCTACATAAACCCAATAAAAGGGTTCCTTTTAGGATCTGGTGGGGTTAAGGGTTCCCTTAGCCCCTAAACCCTTAAGGGTTCCTTTAAGGGCTCCCTTAAGGGAGCCCTAAACCCTAAACCCTTTAAGGATTCCCTTAAGGGCTCCTTCAAGGACTTCGGAGAATTGCGGGAGCCTCGAATTCGTCTCGCTCGAGGCGGATGACGCCTTTGTCCTGTCACGGCGGTTTTCGGGTTTTGGGGTTTGGGAGGGTTGGGGATTTAGGGGTTTGGGGGTTCCTTTGAGGTTTCCGGAAAGGACGACTTTACGGGATCTATAAGGGCATCTATGAAGGGTTGGGGTTTGGGGTTTAGGGTTTCAGGATTTGGGGGTTGGGGGTTTGGGAGAATCTTTGGGGTTTAGGGGTTTGAATGTTCCTTTAAGAGGTTGAGGGGGGGTTGGGGTTTACGGTTCAAGGGGGTTTGGGCGGGTTTAGGGGGGTTTGGGGGGTTTGGGGGGTTTGGGGGGTTTGGGGGGTTTGGGGGGTTTAGTTTGGGATTTAGGGTTTAAGGTTTAGGGGGGGTTCGGGGGTTTAGGGGTTTAGGGGCTTGTTTGGGGGTTGTGGGTTTGTTGTTTGGATTTGCTTCTTGCGCTCCTGCTTATGTCTGTCCCGGGATCGTCTGAGCTTACACAAGGCCGGGCTTAGGCCAGGAGGAGTTTGGGCGTTCAGGGGGTATATTGCAGGGACCTGGGGTTTCGGGTTACGGGTAGGAGGAATCTGGGGCTTAAGGGGTCTAGAAGTTCGGGGCTCCAGGGGTGTAGGGGGTTTCAGGTTTGGGGCTTTGGGACCTTGGGATCTTTAGGGGTTTGGAGCTTCGGGGCTTGGGCGGTGATACAAAAGTGACTTAAAGGCTTAGCTTTGTGTCTCTACAACGGTTGTCTGAACAGTTTGCCATGAGGGTAAAAGAAGGGGTCATCGTAAGGTTTTGAAAGCTTGGGGTTTGATGGTACAGGGTTCAGGGACTGGGGCTGTCGGAGTGGCAGAGTTTACGGGTTGGAGGCTTGAGGGGTGCAGGATTGAGGGGCTTGGGGATTTTTTTGGGGAACCGGGGGGGTAGAATTTGGGGCTCTGGGTTTCGGGGTTCAGGGCTTGGGATCTAAGGGTTCCGCGCTTTGGAGTTGTGGGTGTGGGATTTAGTGTTTAGAGTTTGGGGGAGAACTGAAACAAAGAGCAAGGCACCACTAAAACTGTGGCTCGTGGGAGGAGCCTGCCGATGCAAAGTGACGGAATGCAACAGCGACCATGGGCGCTGAACAAGGGGAGAGAAAGCTGAAGAAGCACTGCACTTAAAGCACACAAAAAAAAGCAATGGAAAAATGACAGCTGTCTCAGGGACATCCGTGGACTCCAGGCGAACGATGGGAGGCACCAAACGACTCAACATCGTCCGCTGCTGCTACACACCTGAGTAGTGACGACAGTGGTACTACCAACAGTACTAGTCGAAGGATTCACCGTCGTTGGCGTCGTCGCGGTAGCTCTAACGCATATACTGCCCGTTTCACACTCACTGACTATGAGCTGATCACCGCCATGCGCCGGAACGGCAGAAAACAAGTTCCGCATGAGCCCCTCCTCGTTCCAGATGAGCGTGAAGGGAAGCGTTGCGCAAACCTGGGGAAAGCAGCAACATCCCCCCAAGAGTCCACATACAACTTGTACTTATACTTACACATTATACATATGGGTGGTTGTCAAAATTATGGTCCCCTTTTGGGTACCCTAAATCATAGGTGCCGTACTATAATAGGGACCCAAAAAGGGACCATCATTTTGACAACCACCCGTACAGTTATACTTGTAGTGTTCCATATCACGAAGCCCTCTGGCAACTAGTCAAGACCCTAAACCCTAAACCCTAAACCCCTTTGTTGGTTGAATTGGGACCAGGAGGCACCCGGACCCTGAACCATGCACTTGAAGCGCTTAGTCAGGCAAGCTAGGGATCTTTGGGGATCTCGAAGCGGTTCAAAATTAAGTTGTGGGGTTATCATGGGGCTTTTTCAAGCTGCTGTAGTTTATGAGGGCTTTGTAGTCTCATGCAGAGCCTCGTAGGGGCACAAAGGTGTTCCTTCAAGGGTTCTGTAGAGGGCTTCTGGAAGGGTTGTATCGCAAGGAGACCTTATTAATAATCAGAAGTATGTCTTGTGGTGTAAGGTCCGCTCCTTTAAATTCTGGATCAGTTCTTCAGGTCAATACAAAGCATCCAGAACGACCCTCGAACGCTGTGAGCAAAAAAGCCAAGCGAACAGTATGTCTAACAGTCCCTGTATCATGTTATGCTAATGTACCCTTGACAAGACACAAGCCAAGCAAAGAGCTTTTCCAAGCCCGAGGGAGTTTGGTGGAATACAGTTGGTACAGTTGGTTTGGCGGTCTCTTATCATAGTGTGATCCACGGACTACAAGGGTATATTATCATAGAACTATACTGGGACTATAAAGGTACATTATCATGGAATGACACAGACACTACAAGGATACTTATCATCACAGAGTTACTTCTCTTTGACAATAGAAGGAAATATTCATGGAACAAACCTCTACGTATACGAAGTACTATAAACTCTACACCCGAAACCCTATATCCTATAGCACCCTTATAGAAACCCTTATAGTGAATCCCTTAAATGAACCCTAAACCCTAAACCTTAAACCCTATAGTACCCTTTTCGTAACCCTTGCAGTGGATTCCCTAAAGGAACCCTAAACCCTAACCCTGGTAAACCCTCCAAGGCCCCAGCGACGATGAGCTTTCTCCAAGGCCGGGACGGGTCCTCAAGGTTTTGGACAAAGCCTTTTGGGGAACAATATAGGGGCCTTAATAAATAGAATAGGGTTTTGTGGTATATTACACCGTAATTATGCTCTTTATTGTGTTGTCGGGTTTTAGAGTTTCGGGTTTTGCGGTCCAGGACTTAGGGCTTTGGGGCTTCGGGCTTTCGGGTCTAGCTTTTAGTGGATTTAGGGTTTCGGGTCTAGGTTTGAAGCTCTTGCGATTCGCATACGCGGGCGCTGTGCAACATGGCTCCGAAGATGGGGCATTCGGAGAGAAACATGCGCCCGTGTCTATCCAAACCAACGCCAACATGAGCCCTGTGATCATCAACGCGAAAGACAGATACTGCAAGTTGGGATCTCGATAAGGAACTTAGTTCAAGTTATTGTCACCTAAACTAACTTCCTCAACAAGAACCCCGCAAGCTTAGCACAAAGGAGCTGCTTTTCACTTCGACCAACGCCGGCTCTTGTGGCCCGGCTGTAAACACTCCCACAAAAGCCGCTACGACCCACGTGAAGCGTGTCAGCTGAAGCCTCTCCTCAGACTGGAGGGCATTCTCCTTTGTCGGTATGCTTTATGGTCATGCCATCTGCATCGAGGCATCCCCGATAGGCACAATAACCCACATCGCAGTTGCCTGAATTGCAAGGCTGGTCGGATCTGCGCAGTTCCCTGTTGGGATTTAGGTGGGTTTAGGGTTAATGAATAACGGTTGCACTTCAAGATGCTTACGGCTCGACACTCCGAAAAGACCGAAAGATGAAAGTCGCGCTTGTTTCAGCTCTGAGGTGCCTCCATGGTCGTTGTCCATACGGCATTGTACTCCGGCCCAACGATACATCAAGTCTACATCTGTCTGGTTCAAGTGCACCACTGGCTTCTCGCTCATCAGCTTCTTGTTGATGTAGTTGACGTGCGGTAGATAATGGAGGAGCAAATCGTTGAGACACAGGCTGTTGTAGTCAGGCACTCTCTGCTTTGACAAGAAGCACAAGTTCGCAGACACGTGAGTCAAGTACTCGTAGTCGTCCAAGGCTGGCGCACGCGAAACGTTGTAATACCCGTTGACTACGCACCAAATGTCAATATAGTCTCGCACCATCAATGAGGAGCCGCCAGGGAGGACAACCTCCTTTTGCGTGTCCAGGCTGAAGCCCTTGCAGGGGAGCGGTTTAACCCTTGCAGGGGAGAGGTTTAACGTAGGAACATCATCAAGAAACCCTGCTCCCTGTTGGGGTTGTTTATATGAATCCTGGTATTAGTTGAGTTGTAGGACGGGGTTTCTTAATCAAGCTCCTACACTAACAGGGATGTGCTGGTACTGAACCGTGTCTGAGTCGCTCAGGACACGTTCGAAACCTTTCGTGGCTCGTACGTGTAGCAGTTTAAGGCCCAAGGTCCCCTCCTGATCTTCGAAAGCAGGAAAAGTGAAAACGCAATCGAAAGACCACAACTCCCGGACGGACCTCACCCTCCCCGACTGGCTCGGTTCTTCCTTCCCATGAAATTCTCTGGTAGTCGAACGCCTGAGTTGGGCCAACAAATTCCGCTCAGAGGCTTCGAACTCTCGTGTTGCCAGGGGTACTATAGGGGCCTTAGTAATTGGAATGGGGTTCCCGTTAAAGGGTTCCTTAAAGGGATCCATAATCAGCTTCTATACTATAGGGGCCTTAAGAATTAGAACAGGGCTTTGGGGCCCATTATACTACAATCATAATCAGGAAACCCCCAAAATAGTATTTGTAATTATTAAGGCCCGTAGATCATCGAACCCTACTACTACAGATCCGTTATAGACCCCTTTAAAGAACCTTTTACAGCCAGAATAGTATTGGTGATTATTTTGGGCCCCTATATTGTCGACTCGGACCTTGGATTGAAAATTTCGTGGCTTGGGATAAATGCAAAAGCCTCCGGACCAAAGATGTGGGAGTTTCCGAAAATTAGTGGGTACCTTATTTTGGGGTCCTTATAATAGCCATCCTACTGTTTAGGGTCCTATATTCGGGTCCCCTATTTTCGGAAACTCCCATGTGTCTATTCAATTTCTAGGCATAATGAACCATGGTGGCGTTGAGAAGCGAACCTGCTTCGGTACTACCGCAGCATGATGGCACCCAGCTGTTGGCACCGCTGTCTGGGTTGTTCCAACGCTTGCAGTTTCTTGGTATCAAAGCAGATTGAAGACACCCCGTTCCAGAATTCGCATGGGTAGCTAATTTTCCGGGGAGAAAGGAATTACCACCAAAGGGCTTGCTTATTGGACGTTGGCAGTGTGCACAAAAGGCCCTGCAAAAACGTAGGTTGCTCGAGGTTGCTGTCAAAACATGACCAAACGGCTTGTAGAAGCTGTGTTTCGGGAACGCTTCGGTGCTTATGGTCTGTGCATTGGGGTTGGTGCTTATGGGATCATGTTGCATTAATGGCCTTGATCCACGAGAGTGGAAGGCCCCCCAGCCTTTGAAGGTTTACCGTTGTGATCACTGCTGGTTCCATATCGTATGTGAGCATAGACACAAACAAAGCGTTGAAAGAAGTACTAGTGAGGTTACCAATGCCAACAATGTTGCAGACGGTGTGGATTATCTGTCAGTAGAGACCGCACCCCTAATCTTAGTGTTGAGCCGAGCCCAAAAGCACTCCTGCTGCTGCTGCTGCTGCTACTCCTACTCCTACTCCTACTCCTACTACTGCTAATGCTACTACTGCTACTACTACTACTACTGCTGCTACTCCTACTGCCACTGCCACTGCCACTGCCACTGCCACTGCCACTGCTACTGCCACTGCCACTGCCACTGCTACTGCTGACAGCACCAGCCGAAACCCAGGCAGGGCTCTGCGAAGCTGCGCATGTGCTTGTGCTTCCGCGCCATGGCGCAGGCCATGCGGAAGCCGGGGGCCTCAAGGGCTCTGGGGTTTGGGGCACTTAGCGTTTAGGGTTGAGGGTCCAGGGCAGGTAGGGTTTAGGGCTCAGTGCACTTAAAAGCTTAATGCATTTACGGTGTAGGGTTGAAGGATGTGGGCATGTAAGAGGGTTTTCGTGCGTTTAGGGTTTTGGGCAGTTAGGGTTTGGGGTTTAGAGCTTAGGGGCTAAGGAAGACATGTTGCCGGGCACTGTGTAGTAGGAGATGGTTCCATGCTGACGCATGCACCAAAGAATTTCAGGCTATGGCTGTGGCTGTGGGGGGGGGGGGCAGGTATTTTCTTTCAGAGCTTACCAAACAAGATTCCTGATTTGGGCTGCAAGTCCTAAGTTAGGATCGACGGCTACAGTCACGGGTGCAGGATGGTCAGCAGATGTGTTTCGGATGGATCTGGATGGAGAGATCAGAATGGAGAAGTTAGGTCATAGTCATACAAATAGTACAGCAATAACCAGTAGAGCCATTTAACAGGAAGAACAATAGTAATAATCATCAATAAAATCAGACAAGTAAAATGATAACAATGATAATGGTACTAATACTAGTGATAATGATTCACAGAGAATGCTAAGCCACCGCGGGTTGGACTGTAACCAAAGGCACTGAAACTACTCAAGAGCCGGCCCATGTGCCTGGTTTCAGGGCCCCTTCTGTCTGAAAACTGTTTGTCGGCAATGACTGCAACTCTAACACTCTAACGATTCATGTCGATTAATTACGAAGACAACAATGCAGTCAGTGCACAATGCATGAAACCTAGGGCTGTTGTCTCTGTAAGCAATCGCACCGCCTCCGATAGAACAACTGGCTGAGGCATGTACAAATCCGACGCAACTGACGCCATTCCAAATGTTCAAAGAGCCGAGGAAAAGTCTCGAGTCGACGGCTTAAACCCTAAAGCCTGAACCCAAAACCCTCAACCCTGAACCCAAACATCTTAAGCCAGAAGCCCTAAACCCCACACCCGAGACCTTAGGCCCTGAAACCTAAACCCTGGGCCCGAAACCGTTGCGATTTTTTGCGTTTTGTTTCTTTTGCGTAACCCAACCTCCAGCTCGGGCATGAGGCACCAGGCATCCTCCCCTGGGTGCTCGTAGAGAACTTCAGTGATGGGCTTGGAAAAATCCTCGAAACGCTTGAGGATTTAGGGTTTAGGGTTGAGGGTTTAGGGTTCAGGGCTTGGGGTTTAGGGTTGAGGATTTAGGGTTTTAAGGTTTAGGGGTTAGGGTTGAGGATTTAGGGTGTTAGGGTTTAGGGGTTAGGGAGAAGCAGTCGGAACCCGTTGAAACCTTTCTTGTCTGCCGGCTGCAATCTGCAATCCCCACTCCCCAACACCTTGCCTTGAATTTACAAAGGCTTCTTTGGGTTTAGGGTTTAGGCTAGGGGTTTAGGGAGTAGGGTTTGTGGTTTAGGGATTTCTTTTTAACCCTCGTGTCTTTTAGGGATTCGGGCTTAGGGTCTAGAGTTTACGGTACCCTTAAAACTGCGTGTTCCCATCAAGCCGTGCTTTCTACAGCGAGCTCCTCCACAGGGAGAGGTTGGCTGCAGTGTTGTAGCTCACCTTAGCTGGGAGGAATTAAAATCAAGGGCCTTAGTAGTTAGAATAGGGCTTTGGGATTGAATTTACTGTAAATATATTAAGGAACCCCCAGAAAATAGAGGTAATCATAAAGGCCCCTATATTATGCTAATACTAGTCCTTAGGGTTCCGTTTTCCACGCACTCAGAAGGTCCTCCAAAACCCAAGGGCCTCAACCTAACCTTGCCATGAGGCCTTTGTTTGTGTTACCCAGGCATCGACTTCAACAGCCCCCAAGATTATTTCACACATGAAACAACCAATTTTTGGGTTGTCCCAGATGGTCACGTCAATCATCACACAAAGCCCAAACCCCAACAACCCTAAACCCTAAAGACTTAAACCCTAACCCCTTAACCCTAAACCCCAACACCAGAACAACTCCATACCCGCACAGAAACCCTTGTCGCTGGAGTCCAAAGCCTTGAAGCTCGAAAACCCGCTAAACCCCACCCGAATACAGAGCAAGGTAGGTTTAGGGTTCAGACGTCTGGGCAAAACAGTAACACTACTCCTTGGGCCTCAGACTTCCTTATTGTACTGATATATAACAAGATGGACAGGAACAGACATTTTGCGCTGTTGCTTTCGCTGCCCTGCCGCCCGGAGCCAAGACGAAAAACGATTCCAGCTTCGGATAGCCAACCAATGCCTCAGACAGGTGATATAGGCAGTGATACCATGCCTCCTGGTGTGTGGGGACTGTCACGCTCCTGACATCCATGCCGACACGGCCATTGCCCGAAATCCTGCCCTTTTCTTAGCCCTGTCAAGGAAGCACCAGCCTAGTTGAGAATAACTTGGGCGATTAGGGCGGGACTACATGCTGATCTTGGCTGGGGCTACGACAGCATTCTCACGATACCATGCCAAAGAGCTGTCTGAAGCTGCAAGTGCGATACAGCGCAGTGCTCGTCCTGTGCCGGATGTCAGATAATGGAGACAAGAGTGAAAGCAGACTCCTTAACTCACAGCAACTTCATAAAGATGGCTCACACCAACACCGGACCTCAATGTCGCGTCACAGTTACAAGATAGCGGTCATGATCAAGGCTCTGGGTGTGCTGTTGCTGTTGCTAGTGAAATCGTGGAAAGTGACCGGGAACAACCAAGGCTTCACTCTTCAGGGCTTGCGGCTTCTCCTGGCACTCCGAGTTCACGGTGCCCTGGCTGGCGCCAAACGCGACTGTGGCAAGGATGACGGCACAGCGAAGGAGACTCATCTCGCAGCTACCTCTGCTGCAGCCCATGGCTCCAGCCGAAGCTCCCACTAAAATGAACAATAGTATCATTATAGTATAGTATGATTGCAGTATAGTATTATTATAGTATAGCACGGAGCTGCAACAACTTTACCTGAATCAGCCTTCCCTCCCGCAGAGGATTCTCAAACTCTCACCGCCCGAACGCCATCAAAACGAACGTCAGCCTGATGTCGTGAACCACAACGTTTAAAGCTTAAAGAAACACTGGGGCAAGGTCACCGCAAGCTCGGAGCCAAAACGGTTCATAGTTACTACAACTGCTACGACAGGAGTTGCGAAGAGCTTGAGAGGCGTTAAAGGCCTCGGTGTTTAGGCTGTTCTGATTCTGGCCTGGGGTTTAGAATTTCGGCTATAGCAGGGTCGTGCAGGCTTTTGAGTTTACGGTACAGCAGAGTTTGGCTTACCTTTGGTTAGTAGGGAATGGAGGATTTGGGTACAATTGTTATTACTACCGTTCGTCCATTCCCTACTAACCACAGGTAAGTTAGGGCCTCGGGGGAGAAGATGGTAAATTCGAAGTAATCAAAGGTCTAGATACCCTAAACCTTAAACCCCAACCCCTCCACCCTAAACCCATGAGTTCTATGGCCAGGAGTATCCCGGACCCTCTGGGCTTTTTAAACCTCAAACTCCAAAGAAGGTGCACTTGCCAAAAGACTGCTGAAAGCCTTCTGGACTTGAAACCCCGTAAACCCTGAACCCTAAACCCCTAACCCCCAAACCCTAAACCCTGAACCCTTAACCGCTAGCCCCCAAACGCTAAACCCTAAACCCTGAACCCTAAACCCCTAAACCCTAACAAACCCTAAGGAGGCATCCCCAAACAAAGCTAGAGCTCCTCAAACTCTGCATCGCTGCAAGCCCCTGCCCCTTACCCTTCCCGGACATCTCCTTGTCGGACCCGACAACCTCGAGACGCTTTGGAGATTCAGGGTTTAGGGTTTAGGGTTCAGGGTTCAGGGTTTAGGGTCTAGGGTTTAGGGTTTAGGGTCTAGGGGTTTAGGGTTTAGGGTTTAGGGTTTAGGGTTTAGGGTTTAGGGTCTAGGGTTTAGGGTCTAGGGTTTAGGGTTTTTGTCCGCATTATAGCCCTGTAACCCCTTATAGTAACTCAGTACGAAGAACCCCTAGAGTAACCCCTAAAGGAACCCTCAAACCCTTAAACCGCAGATCCTACACCCTAAATTTTGCAGGAACCCTTACAGGAACCCTTCAAACCCTTCAAGGACCCTTCAAGGAACCCTCAGAGAACCCTTAAAGGAACCCTCAGAGATGTGCCTTTTAGGGAGCCCCGGGCTTCTCTCGACTCAGGGCCGGCAACGATGAGGGTTACCGTAAGGTTTCCTTTTAAAGGGTTCCTTAAAGGGATCTATGTCGAGGTTCTATACTGTAGGGGCCTGAAGAAATACCATGAGGGTTACCGTGAGGGCTTAGGGTTTAGGGTCTATAAGGGTTTCACTATCAGGGCCTTAATGATTCAAGCAGGGTTTTGAGGTATACGACAGCTATAAAAAGCACTCTAGGGCATATTACTACCAATCATTCCGACCTCTGTATTGCATACCCGGAAGGACAGCAGCAAGCTTCTCCACGCCACTCCTTCAAACAGAGAGAACAAATACCGCCAGCCAAAACATCTTCCTGTCGATGCTGTTGAGTCCCATCTGACTGTCATAGTATATATATATATATATATATATAAAGGGCCTGTAAGGGGATATGATTGAGTACTATGACTAAGGTTCCGATCCCTACATTTGATTGGGGGCACCCGAGCGCCTCAAAAAAGCCTCCTCTCAGTGCGTTTTTGCAGTCGAGAACCTGGAAACACTGCGTGGCAGGATCCAAGCACGCTGGGGTTTATCTTATATACTGTAATGTACCTCCGAACTCTGTCATAATTTCTCGGTGCCCTGCAGCCGTGGCTTCGGCTCGCTGTTGCCACTGGTGCCTGGCGGTTTGCGGATCGCTGGCTTTAGGGCTTTTGGGGGCTTAGGGCCTTAAGGGTGAAGGGCTTAAAGCTTAGGGTTACTATAAGGGCTTTTGGGGGCCTAGGGCGTTTGGGGGGTTTGGGGCTTTTGCGGCTTAAGGCTTTAAGAGTCTGGGTTCTTGGCTTAGTGTTTAAGGACTAGGGCTATTATAAAGATTACTATCAGGGCGGCTGTACGGATTGCTGAAAGGGGCTCAGGGTTCCAGCAAGGGTTATTATTCTCGGGGTTACATGTAACATGGGGTTACTATATGGTTCAGGGCTGCAGGGCTTCAGAAGTTTGCATTTTCGGAATGCAGGGTTCAGGGTTTGCGTGTGCAGGGCTGAGTTTGTGTCCAGGGCCACGGTTTCAGGCTCAAGGCTCAAGGGGTACTGCTTAGCTCAGACCTAGCTTTTGGGTGTACTTGTGGCAGAAGGCCTTGAGGTTTGTGAACCAAGGGTTTAAGAATGGGGTCTGAATAATTGTTGTAGAGTAGACTTAGAGTCGTGGGGCATGGTACAGTATATCACACACGGACTATGAGGAAAGATTCTGGATAGACAGACCTCTGGAGATTTGGCTTTAGGAAAATCGGTAGCTCTCCGCGAAGGCTTTGGACAGCGTTTTGGGCACAACAGGGCGTCTGCGACCGTCGGTCTAAGAGTGTTGAGAAGAAGAAGCGACCGATGCCACACAAAGGCAATCATACTGTAGGGGCCTTAATAATTAGAACAAGGATTTGGGGCCCATTATGCTAGAATTATACTAAGGAACCCCCAAAAAACTGGAAATAATTTAGGCCCCTACGTTGCTCCACAGAAACACCCTTCTGCACAACCAGGAGGTTGAAAAGCACCGTATTCGGGACTCAAAGCCCCGACAGAAAAAAAAACTCAGAAAGTGCGTAAAGCCCAGACCCCCAAATCCTACAAGACAATGAAATCTGAAAAAAAAACACTACCCCGAAAAACTCAAAACCTCAAACTGCGATACGGGCCGAAAGCATTGCAAAACTTAAACCCCCAACCCTTGCAGCGGCACCGCAAAGCTTCAACCCCGAAGCCTTACACCGAACAACCTGAAGCCTTAAATCCTAAACGCGAAACCTCTAACCCTCAAGCCCCCAAAACCCGAAACCTTCAGCCGCCGCTAAAACCCGTTTAAACCCTTTAAACTTAAGCCCCTGCAAACCCAAAACACCCTATTATAGGCAATATTATAGCATAATATATCCCAAAACCCTATTCTAAATATATATATATATATACATATATAGGCCACACTGTCTTAAGCCAAAGGCACCAGTTCGCGGAAATCCGCTGGCTCCGAGCCTTGGCAGGGCGAATCGAATCGAGGACTCTCCTCCAAGGGCTCTGAATTAACACCTTCCTTTAAGGGTTCCTATATGAAATACTATAAAGGATCCATAAGGGTTCTATAAGGGGTTCAATTACGGGTCCCATAAAGGGTTCTATAAAGGGGTTCTAATCCTAGAAGGGTTCTATACAAAACGTCCTCTTTCCAAGTCTCTTTATCCTGGAGCCTTGAAGGAAAGGGCTGCGAGGTTCGGGATACGATGAGGGTTTCTGCCAGGGTTCTACGAGGGCTACGATGAAGGTACTATATAGAAGTTAGGGATGAAGGCTCCTTGGTTTAAGGATTTGACGGGTTGGGGTATGACAGAGAGATTGAGGGCATAGGGATCTAGGTGTTAGGGATGTAGGGTCTGGGGATGGATTTGGGGATGGGGTTTAGGGCCCCGGGCCATGTTTATCGCGGTGCCATGAGATTTAACAAGCTGCGCCGTCGTGGCATACAATTTCTATGTATCCTGGTCTTGAGGGTTTAGGGTATAGGTTTATGGGTTTGAGGCTTGGGATTTCCGAATCGATCCTCTTTTGAAGTGCTGTGGGCCTTCAGACTTGTCATAGCAGAAGCATGGTAAAGAACCCGAAGGAATGACAGTTGACGGTGGCCCCTCAATGCTTTCCACACTCAGGCAGGAGAAGAGGAAAACGACTACCCTAAACCCTAAACCCTAAACCCTAAACCAACCCAAACTGAACAGTAGCCTTGGACCCCAACTCCGGCCCACCCCAAAAACTTGAACCCGAAACAAGAAGAAACCCCCCAAAGCCACAAACCGACACCCAAAAACCTAAACCCCTGATAGCAGCCCAAAAACATGTAATATGTGGCAACCACGATCGTAGCCTGTATAGAACCCTGAACGGAACGTGTCAAGAACGCCAAACACTCTCATCCGAACCTCAAAACCTTTTATCGAATCCTTAACCTTTAAGGAACCCTTCTTTCGAACAATGCCAAACTCTCCGCAAAGGGATGTGATTGGGGGTTTCAGAAAACTACCGGCACCTTATTTTGGGGCCCGGTGCCCTTATAATGAGGATCCTACTATCTCAGGGCACTAAAATTTGGGTCACCTAGTTTCGGAAACGCCAACGCCCATATAACCCCTAAACCCTACACCCTCTGTAGTACCCTATATAGCAACCCTTTAAAGGAACCCTGAGGTAACCCCCAAATTTCCCTGCCTCGATCTCCCGCTGCAGGAAAAACTTCGTCTGCGGCCACTCCTGGCTTTTTGGAGGCTAAACCCTAAACCCTAAACCCTAAACCCTAAAACCCTAAACCCTAAACCCTAAACCCTAAACCCTAAAACCCTAAACCCTAAACCCTAAACCGGGAACCTAGGGCTTCATCTAGGGGCCTCAAATAGGGGCCTTAACAATCAGAGTATGGGTTCCCCCTTAAAGGGGTCTATAAGAATTATGATAAGGGGTACTATAAGGGTACTATAATGTAGGGGCCTTAAGAACTAGAATGGTGCTCCTTTAAGGGCTCCTTTAAAGGGTTCGATAAGGGATCAATAGTTCTATAATATAGGGGCCTTAAATTTTATACTATAACCATCATAAGGAACCCCCAACATAATATCGGCAATTATGAAGGCCCTTGTATTGGGGTTTGAGGTTTAGGGGCTTCAGGGGCTTTAGG